CTGTTTTAAGAATATTATTTTCTTATTGTCACACAGCAGAAATGAAAAACTATTTAAACCTGCAACGACAATACTTGGCCTTATGATGATTTATGGAAAATGTGTCTTTATTTTTGAGATCTTTTGATTCAGCCAGCCCAGCAGCAGCGTCGGTCATGGCGGGCTCACTTTTGGTCTCTGTGAGACTGGCTCGAAGGCCCCAGTTTTATTGTGGTACGAATGTTGTGCATTTGTTTAAAATCAGGACAGTTTGCAATAACAGCAGTCTAACTAGTGGCCACAAAGGGGCACAAGCAGTGCTGATGGCGCCTGGCCTCTTCTTTAGAAAACCTTTGAGGAAGGACTCAAAAATATATATGTATATAAATAAGTATAACTCTCATAGTGCATATTTGTATATGTATCAACAACACGTTATGGTAGTTCTCTTACACAACATCTGTCCAAGTTCAATATGTGAACATGAAGTATATAATGAAATCACGCATATGGTGTTAATCAAAAGCGATGTTGTTGTTGTGTGTGTTGTTTTTTGTTTTGTCTTTTCAGATTCAGATGGTTTTCCCGTTCTTAATGTTTAAATATACAAACCGCTCAGTTTCTGTGTGATCGTGTTTGTCTAAGCAAGCACATAGCAGGGCTTTTACCCGAATCTCTAGTAAACAGGAGGCCAGATGTTATCCTGAATAAGATGGTGTAGATTTTCTATCAAACGTGATGTAATGTAAACACAAAGTTTATCTCTAAAAATGTTTTCAGCACAGCATTTAAATACTATGAAATCAGTTTCAAAGAGAACTTCAACAAAGAGAACAACAACAAAATTCAGATGGAACGATTGGTTACGTTTAAGAATTTGACCTGAAAGCTTCCCAGCGGCAAGGACAAATTGCAAAGCAGTGAGAAACTTCCTGAGTTACATGTTTGAGGCAAACATGGGCCAACAGTGATTTGAATCTATGTTCTTTTAGTCAGTGAATAAAATGTTTAAAAGTTATTGATTTTGTTGTCATTTTTTGTTTTCTTTGGTTATTAGTATACCTCTAATAGCATTCTGTGTTATGTATTGTGTTTCAATAGCCTTCTGTGAATGCAATGAAACAGAGTGAGACACTTAAATGGTCGGTCCTTTTACAGCATACTAGTGCATGCTACAAAACAGTTGTACTGCTGCTGCGAACAGAAATGATTAAATTTATCTTAAAACTTGGAGAAAAGACTATTGACTTTTTTTAAACCATTAAAATAACTAACTTTGGTGCAGCTTATGTTGACTTGTCGAGGTTCAGGTCCAGCAAGTTTTAGGAAAAGTGTACTGAACTCTCAAAACACTGACAGTTTATCAACACATCCATCAGGGTGTTTCCTCCTTTAATGTCATCTCCAGCAGTTTCTCCCTCAGAAAGTATCTTAAGAAACGACGTCCGTACAAGTACAGTGCTACTTCATAATTCACATTCACATACATTTATGTAGGCAAAATAGTTACTTGTTTTATACTACTAAATTTGTTTAAACCCAAAGATGAACACCGATAAGATACATAACATAGTCCAAAAAAACTACCTGCAACTTAACAATAACAATAAGTCAAGAAATTTGCTGAAAAAAAGTGAAGCTCTGAATTTATGTAAAATAAAAGCAAGGGAGGAAGAAACTAAAAAAAGAAAGGAACTCCATACCAACAGGTGGCGTGAATGTTCAACATCGTTTTGCCACACGTTCCATTAAAAACAAAGAAGAGCCAAAGCCGTCGAAGAAGAAACACGTGAATCGCGCTAGGGTGAGACAAGATGGCGGTGGTGGTGCGGAGCTTGCAGGACCAGCTCGAAAAAGCGAAAGAAAGCTTAAAAAATGTGGACGATAATATTCGCAAACTAACCGGACGTGATCCAAATGAGTCCAGGTAAGTCGACCGCGTGCACTCTCACATTTGTCTGCGGAAATAGTTTGCTCACCACGAGCTTTCAAATGGCGAGGCTAACAAGAGCAAGGTAGCTGGCTAGCTAATCAACCCAGATGTCTTGTCAAAACCGTTTCTTGATTTTTTTTTTCTAAATTGACTTATTATTTGTATAAAACTGCAAAATGGAATCACACTTGTAGTGTATCAGATAAAACAACATATTAAGCGTGTTCCACTAGCGGTAGGCCTGTTCTAGGCGTCGTTTCGCGTTCTGAGTTTTTATGTTTTCAACGTCTCAACCTCTCGGCAGACAAATTATACCATTTTTAGTAATATTACATTTTTTAAATACTTCCTGCCATCCTGCTAACTCGCGTGTTCAGTTGATGCAATTTCACGTGATTTTCTTTTTTTGTGTGTGTATCTAGACCGGGTCAAATTCGCCGGCTCGGCGGCCCCTTGGCCGGCGTGGGAGGAGGTAGAGGCAGAGGGCTTAACTTGCTGAGGTAAGACTACATTTGATTTATTTTATGGGATGAATGCTGTAAACTTAACAGAATTAAATGTTTTATTGTAATTTTTCTTTCCCTTAACCTGATGAGTGTATATTAACGCACCCCCTTGTATCGGGGATTGTTCGTAATGTACAGTAAACACTGGAAGAGGCGGGACCAAATGAAAAAAGGGAGGAAGTGGGAAAGCTACCAAAAGACAAATGGGTAGAGTTAAGTGTTAGAGGGTTTTTGGTGCAATAATTAATTTTTTTTCCAGAAATATGACAATCAGTTTTTTAAAGCTGTAGTGTCCAATCTCCTTGTATGACAAATATGTAAATCTACACCAGTTTAATCAGTCAGAATTATGAGGCCAACAATTACAATTAACCATGTGTTATAAAATTATTATGAAAAAGTGTATAAATACATAAATAATACAAATTTAAATATGTATATTTAGTATATGCTATAATTTCTATGCAACTCTCTCATTATCAAACCTCTGCATGTTTTGTTTCTGGATGACATAAACATAAATCTGCTGAAATATTTACAAATTATATATTGGCAAGTGAAATAATCAAAAGAAGAGCACAGAATTCTTTAGAAGAAAAATAAATACTCAGTTTGTGAGTAATCAAATGAAGAAGGTTCAAAGCCAAAAGTGTCCGTAATTGAATAACTTTTTAGACATGCACTATTTGCAAAGCTGCATACAGTATCTTTATCAATCAACACTGCTGCCAACTTTGTGATATACTACACGTGTTTCCCAGTGTTTTTTGAGCTACAGCACAATTAACATTAGAGAAATTCCACAGTGCACCACCCAACAAAAAATGTCTCAAAAGTATATTTAAGGAATATATATAATATGTTGATCTTCCGGTTTCAAGTTATTCACAATTTACTTACTCAATGTGAAACATGCCTGTTTAGTTAAACACAACACTTGCAACACCTGCAGGGATGTTACCAAAGATGGACACTCATACAGAGACCTTTGACAGTTCTAGGGTTTTTACAGATTATATTTGAGTTCTATTCATGTCTCTGATTACTTTCCCAGGCGCAGTCTCTCTGACATTGGAAGCGGTGGCCCCCCTGCCAAGCAAAGAGACATTGATGGAGCTTTGCTGAGGTGAGCTAAGTTGCTGAGTTTTGCTGAAGGCCTTTGAACAGTAGCAAGTAGATGGTGTAATTGAAAAGTTGTGTCCCAAGTTTAAAATGTGGTTTAGGCAGCATTGCATTCACATTCAGCCAACTAAAGAGAGTTGTTTTTGGAAAAAGTTTCAGAAAAATTAATTTTTCCCATGCTCTCACAATTTCACTTTGGGTCACAAAGCTTTATGTATCTGAATATGAAAATATGAAATGCTTTGTTTTCAAAATCATCTTTAATGCAAAGAGAAGTTTTTTTAAACACTACTTAAACATGAATTCATTCACTTGGTACTTATTTAAGCACACCACCAAGACCTTTTGCACTCTGGCTCTTTTGTACTTTTCACGTGTGTAGATCAAATTCCCAGCCTTTGGTAACAGTGGTTTGACATTTTAATCTATGTGCATGTTCAGACTGGCAGGAGACCAGAGGGCCAGGAGAGATGTGCGACACGACAGCGATGCCGAGGATGATGACGATGTCAAAAAGGTAAGAATATATTGTTGACTGTGGGCCTATTTTAAATATCAGATTTGTGGAGTTAGAATTAACAACAACCAGACCTGTGATACAAAAACAGTTCACTCAGGTTTAGTGTCCACCCTATCTATTTTGAATGCAACACTGATTCCATTAGTCAACGTGAGGAATAAACACACTTTTTTGTCATAATAAAAAATGTCATATTTACCAAGAATTGAAAATGGTTATTGCAGAGTTGTCAATAATCTTGTACTTAATTGTTCAGCATCAGTATAAAAAACAATAAGTTTACTGCAATAGAGATGTAAGCACTAAATACCCTACCATTTATGGCCAATGTTATTTCACGTTGTCTAATTTCTTTCTATATTCCTTAATTTTTGGTTGCAGGTTTTACATACAGTACATGACTGCCGACCAATCAGTAGACCAATGTATCTGTTCTTTTTTTTTCTTTCCTTCAGCCGGCATTGCAGTCGTCTGTAGTAGCTACCTCCAAGGAGCGAACACGCCGAGACCTCATCCAAGATCAGACCATGGATGAAAAAGGGAAACAGAGGCAAGATTCCTTCATCACAGTCTTAGAAGCTGGAAAAGTTACTTTTGTGATCTGTAAATTTAAGGCACCTTCATTTTGAGAGGCCATTGGCGTTTGTGATTTAAGTAAATGCTAAATGGGTTGTTATCATCGCAAGACAGATTTCCTTGTGTGATTCTGGTGTGTTTTCTTCACTAGGAATCGGCGTATGTTTGGCCTGCTAATGGGGACCTTGCAAAAATTCAAGCAGGAGTCGAACGTCTCCACTGAGAAGGTGAGGAGCCGGAAATGTGTCACAATGAAGAGTAATTTTAAAAAACACTTTTCAAAATTGACTTTAAACCTAAACTCTGTTACCCATATCTCCATGCAGCAAAAACGACGGTCGGAGATTGAGCAGAAGCTGGAGGTTCAGGCAGAAGCGGAGCGAAAGAAAGTGGAGAATGAAAAGAGAGAGCTGTTTGAAGAGAGGAGAGCGAAACAGACTGAGCTGAGACTCCTGGAACAGAAAGTCGAACTGGCTCAGCTGGTAAGTGTTTCTACAGTGTGTTCCACTAGATCACCTCTAGTTTTGAAATGGTTGTGAATGATGAGTATCAAGCTTTGACCTTAGGATCTAAGGTCTCATCTCAGGTTGTACTCTTTCAGCAGCCCATTAATGTTTATCAGGCGTGACAATTTAAAGCTTTAAAAGTGGGATCTCAAATTTTAAACTGAATCCAAAGATGAACTGGAAGTAAATGTTGTGCTCACAAGACAAAGCTAAATAATAAAAAAAACAACTCACATATTTCGAAGACTATACTAGATAAACACGGCCAGGATATCAATTTGATGCCTCTAAACAAGAGGTCAATTTTTCTGGAGCAGATTTTAAAGTCACTGTCTTGTGAAAACGGTATATCAATTTGATGCCTCTAAACAAGAGATCCATTTTTCTGGAGCAGATTTTAAAGTCTCTAATTAACGGCTGTTTGATGCTAGTCAGGCAGCTGTTTGAGGAGAAGAGCTTATGTACCGGTGGATCCTTAAAAGAACAGAACTGTGTGTCATATGTACAGTATATACATTATAGAAAACATTCCCAAAATGATCTGTCCTAGGTGAAGCACATAGAATTAAAACAGAATGGGCTCTCAAACTGAGCCCTGAGGTACCCTGCAGTCTTCTAATCAAGACCTCCTGGTTTTTGACTTTTTACTGCTCTTAAATAACTCTTGCCACTTTATTTTTGCAGCAAGAAGAGTGGACAAGCCACAATAATCAGCTGGTGAAATACATTCGCACCAAGACACAGCCCCACCTCTTCTATCTGCCTGGAAAAATGTGCTCTGCCTCACAGAAACTCCACGATGAATCCACCAAGAAACTGAATGGTCAGTGGGTTTCCTTGTTTGTGCCCGCCTACCTGTGTTAGTGCTGTGGTGTTCCCTACTGTGTAGAGATCTAGAGCTACGCTGGCAGTGGAAACCACAAAATAAAATGTCTGATATGAAGAGAACGTTAAATCAACCAATGTGCATTGTTACCACTGTAGACATTTATTTTCCAGTATATATTTTGATCTGTAGGTGTCTGATAATCCAAACATTCATGTGTCTTCCTTCCTCAGCTATTTTTGAAGAGAGGCGTGAGGCTTTTGCTGAACACCTCAGTAAAATGGAGTCTCGCCCCCGAAGACCACCAAACCGCGACCAGGACAGCAACACAGGAGTGGACCGTCCGGTGGAGGGTAAGCCAGTAGGTCAGCTAGTGAAGGTGACAGGTAACAGGGCAGATGTAGAGATGGAGGAAGAGGAGGATGAAGAGGAGGAGGAAAGGGAAAAGGAGGAAAGTGGAAAGGTAGCAAAGGATGATGGGGGTGAGAGGGAGGAAGAAGAAATAGAAGTACAGAAAAGGGCAGATGATGAACGGGAAAGAATGGAGCTTAGTGAGGAAGGCAGCGGAGATAAGAAGGAGGTAGAGGAGAGGGTGGAAGACAATGGTGAGCAGAAGGATAAGAGGGAGGAAGAGCCAAGTCCAGGGTCAGAGGAGATGGAGGTAGAGGGGGAGCAGGGGAATAATGGAAAGGAAGACGAAGGGGGAAAAAAAGTAAAACAAGAGCCAACTGCTCTTTACATTGAGAATACCCAAGATGCCCAGTCCTCCGAACCAACCATACCCAGCCAGGATGCAGCAGAGACCAATGAGCAGCCCCAGTCTAGTCCCCCTCTGGGGGAGACAGCGGTGAAGGCTGTACAGTCACCTGAGCTTCAACGGGCTTCACCAAACCCAGAACCCCAGACTGTCGCTGCAGAGTCAGGACAGAATGTCAGCACATCTGGCCAGGAGGGTCATGACACAACAAACGAGTTCAAGGTGAAAAAAGAGCGATCAGAGGACGAATCAGAGGCCCCAGTGAAGCTGCCTGATTCCCAGGAAACCCTGAGCACCACACCTGCTCTGTCCATAAAGGAAGACGAAGGCCTGAGGGGGAGGAAGAAGGTAAGAGAGTCGAGGAAGAGCAGCAGCCGTAGTAACAGCTCCTCTGGCTCATCCTCCGGCTCGTCCTCCAGCGGTAGCTCCTCTTCATCCTCCGGATCAAGCCACTCTTCTTCTTCCTCTTCATCCTCTTCGTCATCATCATCCAAAAGCAGCAGCCGAAGTCGCAGTCACGACACCGATAAGCGCAAGAGAAGGCCATCGGATAGGGACAGAAAGAAGGATGACCGGAGTCACCAAAAGAGAGGAGGAAGTGGTGGCGGAGGAAGGGACTCGAAGGGAGTGAAGGAAAGAAGGAAGAGAAGTGAGGAAGGAAGGGGAAGGTCCTCTCGCAGTGACAGGGAGCAAAAAGATAAAGACAGGAAGGACAAGAGGCGCTAATCTGGCTGCTGATTTGTTGAATGTCCTCAGTTGATGCATCTTTTAAAAGTGCTTGTAAAAAACAAAAGTCTGTAAAATTCAGACTGTTTTGAAAGTTGTCGTTCTAGTGGATTTTGTCTGATTTCCAAGTTCATCTCTAATGTTAACTGAAATCTATCTCATGTTTGCTGGACGTTTTGGTCTCGATGCACCTGGCTGTTTGTCACTGGGCTCCTGGCTCAGGAGCCTCTGACAGGGAAAAGAAACAATTCCCTGTCATTTTTTTAATACAAATTTGATCAATCTGACAGTGACATGAAGTTGTTTAAGTTGATGTGACAACATAGAACTCCCATTTGATGTCACTGCCTTTCATTTGGATACATGTGATCGCTTACTGCTTTTGAATCACTTTCATCTTTTATATTGTCTGATCTAAAATAAAGTTGAGTTATTAGTTGTAATGATTGTCGTTTTTATTGTTATCCTATAACATGTCTGGATTAAATGTATGTGGAAATGGGTTGATGTGACTAATTCAGTTGTACGTTGACATTCCTTTCTAAAGATACCGACTGGGTTGACTCACCCCACACCTTGAGAAAAAGATATCCAAAAGCATTTTTCAGAATTCAAATTACTTTATTAACATTTTCAAATAAACAGTTCATAACCAAATGCAGATCAAATATAAAAACTGGGGGCAAAAGCTTTCATATGTGGCCGCCCTGTTAATCTCTCACATAACTAACCAAATGCAGATCAAATATAAAAACGCCCTGTTAATCTCTCACATAATACAGTTCAGCTTGGCTGTGTTGAGTTCCATCTTTTGGCATTTTCGTGTTGCTGTGGTCTCACCACAACTTTACTGTAATGACTCACTTGGATGTGAAATCACTAAAACATTTAAAAATCCTATGGTTTGGGTCAGTTTTTCTTCACTCCGGCTGGTCGGCCAAATCATTCTGTTCAAAGTACCTGGAATTAAAAAAATCCATAACAGCATAGTTTTTGAGCAAAGATAAACATGATGGTTCATATTTGTGCTGATTCAGATGTTTAGAAATGCATTACACAAAAATTGTACTTACTTTAAACTACTATGATAATGTACATTTTTACAATTTTTTTTTTTGATAATTTTTGCATACCTGGCAACAAGACAGATGAGCAGATTGAGTGCAGGCAGTTTTTCATCGTCCTTGCTCTCCTGTGGAATATAAAGGGCTACTGTCAGAGTTCCTCAAGAATAAATACTACATCAATGTGTTTGTCAAATTTAAAATAAAGGTGCAGTCAAGCCATTAATGACACAAAACAGGCCAGCAGTCCAGACCCGGTCTTACCAGTGCGCTGCGGAGTTGGGCACATCTTCTGGACAGCTGTCTGATGCAGGAGTGGGCCTCAGGTATTAAAGGCTTTTCTAGACAGGCTAACAAAGCAAACAACCAGCAACCCTGGAAAGAAAAGCCGTCACATTCAGTGTTCCCTATACTTTGAAAAAAAAGTACACAGTTCTAATTGATAGTCAGCAGGGGTCACCAACTATATTTGTCTGAGGGCCAGAAGTTTTCTGGACAGGTACTTTGTGGGCCAGATGCCCAGATAAAATGGAGTAAAAATAAAATTTTTGTCTAACATAATTATTTGATGTGTATTCAGAACTGAAGGCATTTTTACATTTTAATAGTAGGGACCACATGATGGTTTCTCTATTGTCCTCACAATTTTGGAATCCAGTCATGGGCTGGATTGTGTGGTTCCGCTGTCCAAATTTGTCCTGCAGGCCACCAGTTGATAATCACTGTCCTACAGCTAGCGTGTTTTTGTTTTTTTGTTTTTGTTCAGGTTGCATTAAGTGGTGAGGAAGAGAATCAGGAAGTTTATGTTTCGGCTGTAAATTTCATTGATGGAAACTCACCAGCTGTGGAATGAAGTCTTTGTCTGTAAACCAGCTCGTAAGAATTTCCAACAACATTAAAACTGTGGTCTGACATGAGACAAAAAATAAACAAAAATAACAGGTTACATGGGATATTGTAGCATTGAGGCATTAGAAAATCTGGGAATGATTACCTGGTTTAACCTGCTAACGATGCTGAGGAAGGGAGGGAAGCCCACCTAAACCAACAAATGCAAGTGTATCAGTCAATTGTTGACTCCAAAATATCCACACCAAACAAAGGATGCTCTTTTTTTCACTTCCAACATGAGAAAGGTCTTTGAACAACCTTGTTGTAGTCAACCCCTGGCTCTGCTTCCACTTCTGTGTCACAGATTGAGTCGCCAACACAGACCCTCTCTCCTAAACAAAACCTCTTCCAGCCCTCTTCATCTGTTAGATCTGGCTGTAGAACGTACAAATAAACAAATCTGTTCACATCCTAGCCTCAGAGAGACACAGTCCTAATGAGATGCTAACGCTGATTCAAACCAGTGAGTGACGCCCTCTCCTCACCATGGTCATGTTGTTGTCCAGAGTCTGGCTGCTCCAGCGTGTCCTGTTCTTTGCGATTCTCTAAAAGGAACAAAAGAAAAGTGAGGAGAGAGCAGCAGTGACACCTGAGCTTGAGCTGTGAAAAATTATTTTTATTGCAACACATTGACATATGAAAAAAAACAAATAACTTTTACCTGTCTGACATCTGAGAAGTTACTGACTTGTTGTTGCTGCCAACTGAGGCTGGGGCACAGACCTGTGGGTGCAGCATGAAGTCCTAACACCTTATATCACACAGAGTACAGATGAAGTATAATAGAGCAGGTAAACACACGTGACAATTCTATTTAGGAGTTCATATCCTAACTACTGTGTATACTGTCTGTGTATGTCTACTGTGTTCAACTGATTATACTCCTTATTTCGTTATGGTACATGTGTATAGCTATATTTCACTTAAATTAAATATACTCTAGGTGGCGCTTTATCGTCGCTTTTTAAGAACAGTTTACTCACAGACACATGCACGGTTGGTTGTTTTAGTTTCTTTGGGTCAATCTGAGCAACTACAACCTCTGGACACAGTGATGCCTCCAACCTGATGGAGAGGAAACAAAAGTATTATTATTTTTTTCTTCTCGGACCAAGACACACTAAAATTGGAGGTGGACTCACTGCACTTGTCGGAGATATTCCTGCGGGTTTCTCGGAGGTCCGCTCAGATCCAGCGCCTCTGACTTGACTCCGAACTCCACAGGCAGCAGCCTCGGCATCAACTCCTCCACGTCCGAGTTCATTGTTTCGGTAGAAAGAAAGTTTCGGACGTAAAAGGTCGACGGGCACAAACCGATACTTCAAAACATCAAATAAAACCACACAGTATAGAGGAAAACCATGTGACGTTAACTTGGACGGATGATAAACTGGCCTGGAAGTCAGCATTTACTTCTTCAATTTAAACGCGCTGTTGTGACGTCACATCCATGACGTTGTTTTTGTGCGCAGCACGACAGCCAAAAACTACCAACGGCGCCAAATACGACAGCTTTTGAGGAGAAACATGGAGGAACTTAGATGGTTACAATGGTTAAGTGGAAAGTAACGTCCGTCGTCAGTGGTGTTATGACGGAGTGGTTGTGGTGGGAGCCCTGTAGTGTTGGACATGCAGCGGAGAAAAGCCTCAGCGAGTGTGGAGGTGAAGCAGGTGATTGCGACTCTGTGCAGACTGTTAGCGGCCACCGGCCTGGACGTAGTCCCCACACCTGAGTCCTTTAGACGGGCGAAATTCGGTGATGGACCCGAGGTGGTAAGTTCTCAGATCTATTTTTTCCCCTCTATGTCGTACCACGTAATTGATGTCGAACGACATTGTGAGCTAATGACACAAAGCCAACGGTCATCAGGTGAGAGTGGGGTATTCTGAAAGTCCACCAGTGTACTGCCACAAATAAAATAACTATAACACGACAGGAAATAAGATTACTGACGTACAGATCGTAATAAAATTCAATAATCAGAACTGAGGACATTGAGGTAAAATTAAGATATCCATTTGACACTGTTGTTATTTTCTGTGTTTCAGGAAGGTCAGTTTTGGCAGCTGCTCACCAACATCTTTCAGATAATAGACGACGTTCCTGTTGAAGTCACTGACCAGCCAATGAGAGGTCAGGACTATTCCCTATACTGCTCTGGATCTGTGAAACTATTGTTGTTGCTGTATTGAAGTATTTACCACTCAAACATAATCTCTGTCCAAGATCTCATTGATTCACTGATACATTCAGCCAAACCACGCTGAACATATGGAGGTGTGTCGGCCACTAAAAGAAACTTAATGTGTGTTTCAAGTGTCAAAGGCAATGAACAAGAGAGGCACTGTTTACATTTTAAAAATTATTTTTTAAATTGACAAAGCCATTGTGAAATCCTATGAGAAAATGAAGTACCATTAAGTATTAAAAAACTGGTCTTTTAGTACCATAAAGATAGACTCAAGTACAGGGGTTCTTCGACTAATGTTAGTTCCGTTCCTACGGTGCAATGTAACTCGATTTTCGCTCTATGTTGGATCTCACGTACTGTAGATAAATATTTATGTCACTCACCTTCTCTAACACAGTGGTGACATCATAATCTAGGACATAAAAACATCAGAAGAGTCTGACTGACACCTGGGAGCCAGAATGAAGGGCATAAAATAGCCCAGATCTTTTTAATCTGTTGCCTGAAGGCGTTGATTGAGTGTGAAGTTCTACTCACCTGTTGTGTCACAGTAGACATGAATCTTTATAATAATATCTAAATTTTGCTGACTCAGCTTTCTCTCTCCATGTAGCCCCGGTGCAGAGGCAGGTGGTGGCTGCAGGCCTCAGGCTGAGCGGCTTCCACGCCGACTGGCTGTGTGGCAGAAAGGAAGAAGGGAAGAGTTTCTCCAGCAGAGATCTCCTGCTGGCAGTGAGCTGGCTGTTCGCCACAGGAACACTGGAGAAACTGCTGATGCATCGCGTGCAGCGGCTGGACAACACCCTACTCACACTCCGACCTGTAGGTAACAGTAACCTTGTCAGGGTGGAGCAGTGAGCCGTGTTTTGTCTGACAGTGTTCATGCCTGTGTCCTGTCAGGTGAAGACTCCTGTCTGTCTTGACCTTCAGTTTGACCCTTCTTCTCTGAGGAGACTTCAGTGGCTGAGAGGATCTCTGAGGCACCAACAAAGGATTCTGCTCTCCATTCTGGAGGAGAGGGCGCGGTTACTTCACACTGTGAGGAAATCTGCATTTAAAAATCCTTAAACTTTTTTTTAAAAAAGATCTCAGAAGTTTTTCTACCGTTACCCAGTTTTCCATTAAACAAACTTCATGAGCATAAACCAGTGGTTCCCAACCTGTATTGGCGTGTGACCCCATTTTGACATCAAAAATTCCTGGCGACCCTGGACATATTTTTTTTTCTAGAATTAGCTCTTGATCATGTTTGTTATACCCTGTTACAAATACAGAGTAATCAGATTAATGCGCAAAGTTCTCACTTGATCACAGGTGTCAATCAAGATGTTCAAGCTCAGACATTTTTATATTCTGCATTAAATTTGAAAACTTGTTTCATATTCATGAAAGCAAAATAATACCGTTGTCTAAGGTTGTGTGATGTTTTCAGTCTAATTTTATTAAGAATGATAATTAGTTGAATAAAATAAAATCACTTACTTACTTAGTTACTAGGCATTACCGGCAACCCCATTTGAATTCCAGGCGACCCCACATGGGGTCACGACCCCAAGGCTGAAAAACACTGGCCTAAACTTCTGGAAATGTGGTCTAACGTTAACGTTGTCCTTTTTATTGTCAGGTTTTCTCAGCCAGCCTCTCCTCCACTGTGTCCTCCTCTGCTGTTGATCCAGACTGTTCTGCAATAAAACACGTGTGTGTTAGTGTGTGTGTGTGTGTGTCTGAATGTGTACAGTACATGTGTGAGTACATGTTAAACCATAAACAACAGAGGTTTCACTGACAAAAGGCTGTTAATTTGACTAAAACACCAAATTAATATAAAAACATTTTACTTTAAAAATGTAATGTTATAACAAACACAGTAACAGCAACAGTTTCACCAAAATATGAGCAGTATTTACATGTAACTAGGTAAAAAAATGATTATTTTAATTGTTAACAAGTTTTGATAGGAACTTAATGGGAATAAAATAAAAGACTATTTATTTATTATTAACAGAGGCCATAAAGTCCCATTCCCTGCTCTGTGTGTCTGTTTAAAAGGACAGTGTGTGTGTGAAGCAGCTCTGTGACCTGCTGCAGTCGTATTTGAACTGGAAACAAGTGGAGAGTGTCTTTTGGAGCTGGATGGTGAGTTTGACACAACACACACACACAAACACACACACAGGCTAATAAACACTCAGTTTATTTACAAATATTGTCGCACATTTCTGATATTTAACATTATTAAAGTCATGAAATTGTTTTGCTGGATTAGTTTGTGTGCAGTATTTCTAAATATATTAAATATTTATTTGTGTGTGTGTGTGTGTGTGTGTGTGTGTGTGTGTTTTGCAGGACAGTGTGATGGACTGCCACCACGTAGTTTCTGTAGTAAAGGAGCCTCAGCTTATCACCAATGTGTGTCAGCACGGCAACCAAGAACAAGAGAACACACTCGGGCTCCACACAGCACAGGTCATTAAGACACACTCGGGCTCCACACAGCACAGGTCATAGAGACACCATTGACACACACACACACATCCCTCTCTGTTTCTTCATGGAGTGATGAGCTCCTCTTCTACAAACTAACACCATTATCACTACATTGATTGACTTTTTGTTCTTCCCACTTCCTGTCGTCTCTGCCTGGTTCTCTGGATTGGACACCTCATCTGCCATAACCCAAGACCTGCAGAGTGAGACTGGAGGAGAGGAGCCCATTCAGAGAGTACACCTACCCAGCAGCAAGGCACAGCAGAGAGGCTGAGGCTCCAGACAAGCTGCCAGCATCTGAGGCTGTACGGCTGCTGCTTCACACTGAGGCTGCGCTGCAGAAAGTCAGAGACAGACGGAGACTGGACACTCGCATGCAGCTGCAGGAAGTGATTGGTGAACTGGAGGGACTGGTGTTGATACCACCCTAGACCGCTCTGTGTTACAGCCCCAAATGAAAAAAAAGAAGGAATTTCATGTTAAAATCCATGCATGGGAGAGTATATGTTTGGACTTTTACAGATAATCAGATCGTACCAGCACGATGTACATAGTTTACATTATTTTAAATTCACTGTCATTTGCTACACCTCATTTATGGAAAAGGAATAAATGGCTACTCCTCAAGCATTTGTTTTAACAATCATAATCCCTACCCTAATTGATCTCTGGGGAAATTCTTGGGTGAACTGCAGATCTGCTGCAACAGGCTGCTCCCAGGAGGCGCCACCTATGTGGTTCCTCTGGGGCTGGAACCCAGGACCTTCTGCATTTAAGCAGTTGCAGGAACCACTGCACTCATACTATATTGGTAAGTATAGTACAGTGTTTCCCCAACCTTTTTGAGTTACAGCACCTACAGTATTTTAGGAAAGTCCCATGGTGCACCAGTTGGTTCAGATTTTAGAAATGTGTGTGTGATGCATTTAGGGATTAACCTTGCAAACTTGACAAACTTGCACCAATTGAAATCATTTGCACCTTTTTTATTGGTCACAAACAGAATGACTTTCACATTTCCAGGTGTTTATTAAGTGTTCATAGATTAGTTTGTTTAATTCAGAGGCCAAAGTAAAGCACTATAAAAGCAAAACGGCGTGTCATTCCTCAACCTATAATCCCTGAACTCCCTCATCTCAGACGCTGGCAGAAAAGTGACGGCAGCCATTTTGCCTTGCAGTGACGGCAGACAGAATCCATCAGGAAGAGTCAACCACCAGTAGTTTCTGCATGTAGGTGTTGAGCCACTTCTGTCTCTCCATGGAGGTGAGGAGTTTGCTCTTCTCCCTGAAGGCGGCGTCGTCAGCCACCACCATGTTTCTCTTTGTCATCCCAGCTTCTCGAGACGGCCATTCAGACGACCAGGCTTGGTCCATTCTAGCAACATACAGACCATCGTTATTTACCATGTCGTACAGTCAACGATGCAGTTCAACACTTGGACGGTTGACAGTTGTACAATAATCACACTCTCTAACTCAGTGTCAAACTCCAATTCACATTAAAAGCTGGGACAAAGTCGTGGACCAAACTTAATATTTATTTAAGCATTGACGGCAATTGTGCATGTTTTCTCTTCTCTCCAGATGTCATGTAGAATTTCTTCATGTGGAAACAAACTTTAGTTTTGCGTAAACATTGAATCCAAAAGCTTAAACCAAAGCTTAATATTATAAACACATGAGAAATTAAATTTGAAATAAAACACACATCAGTTGTATTTGTTTGTTATTATGTCTCTATCTGTAGCCTTTAGAGTTCCTTTTTAATGTAAATCTTATTGCCAAAAAAAAAAAGTTTGTGCTATAACATCGCTAACATCCTGCCGGAAAACTGCTATCCACTAGTGTTTCTACTCCAGGTCTGACAACGGTGTGTGTTCTCCCTCCTCTCCCTCTCCTCAGTTACCCTGCTTCTTCACTCTCTGGAGCCGTTAGCCAGGTCTTCGTCATCAGCCGTTTGGTTTCAGGACGGGGGCCTGACATCAAACTAATGCTCCAGTCCCGCATAGCAACAGAAGGGAAGAAGACATCCCAGGTATGTTCTTTTGGTTCCTCCGACCCATCAGTCGTCCTGAGTCAGGGGAGGTGACACAAAAATGTAGGCAATGTAAGAAAATTGGAACTTCACTCCACAGTATGGAAGATGAAGCAGTTCAGCTTTTCATAACATGATCATAAATCCATACAAAGAGCTGGACAGACACTGTGTGTGTGTGTGTACCTACTGTGGTACAGGATCTTTAATGTGAAATCAGTACCTCAGAGGGAGTCGTGGTCGAGGGAAGCCATGGGCCAGAAATGTTGAACCCAAAATACAGAGCAACAGAATGTGCAGACGAGGAAGAGCCGACTGTTCAGGCATCCTGAAACAGAAGAAACTTCAAGAAATACAACAATATTTTACTGCATCATAATTCAGTTCCTTGGTTCCTTACCTTTAAAGGTAGGTCATTGTCTGCATTATTAGAAGTTATTATTAGAAATAAAAAAACCTGCATATCTATTTTATTTTAATTTGATTTTTATATGATGGTGATGGTATAAAACACGATTTGACCATAATTCTCAGTGTTGCCAATAGTTGTTTTCCATAAGCAAAGATAGTTCTTCACACCACATGAAAACACAAGTTCTACTTCTCCAAATAAACAGGACTAAAACGAACAACACACAACAAACTAAAGTTAAAACTCTGATCATATATTTACCTGTTTTTCTGAAGCAAGCAGCCAATCAGAGCAAGACCGAAGAGGTTAGAGGTCAGCTGTCATCCAAAAAAGAAACTCCAAAAAAACACTGGGAACTCTAGAAAGTGTCCGATGCGAACAAAAGTCTTAGATAAAGTAAAGAATTCTTTATCTTTATTCTCTCTCTCTCTCTGTTATTTATTTTAATTTTGACTCCAACAAAAACAAGTTTCCACCTGTGCTTTTAGGAGTTGCTGCTGTGTGCACATACAGACGGAGAGCACTGGTTTCTGACCATACACACTTATATACCAGGCTGTAGCATGTGTTTACCCCACTGCCCCACTGTGGACCCCACCCCCACATACACACATATAAGCTAACACACCCCTCAGTGAGCTTGTTAGTGTCCCATATCAAAGACATTGGGCTGTGGCAGAGCATCACAACATCAGGCCTGTTGTCTCTTTGAATATGTCACTGTGTGTGTGTGTATGTGTGTGAGAGAGAGAGAGACAGCAGTGTATTTATTCATATTCTGTGAGAACGAGGACAAACAGCGCTGTCATTAAAAGGTGAAAATTCCGTTCAGTAAAAATTCTTGTACTCCCTTTTTTTAGTTTGAAGCAGCGGCTCTAAGGTTTCCGTCATTGTTTATTTTGTATTTTATTTAATTTTACCAGGTAAGAATGACATCTGTTTTTTTTTTTTCAAAAACAATTAATCACTAACAAAATAAAAAAAATTCTGGATTTTATTTTTGTCTGTTGCTCACTTTATTTTTCTACAGGGGGCGCTATGGGGCCTCAGGCAATTGGAGAAAAGACAAAGGGAAAAACTGAAATTATTTTTTAGTTTATTATTATTTAAAATAACCATATGTCCAGAACCATACAACACATAAACTGAACATCCCGATGGCACCTGAACGCACCATCATAATTACGTCATGATCTGTGTGGACCTGGTCGTTTGGGCCTGTTATCGAGCTGCCCTGCTCCTCAAGCTAGAGTGCAGCTAGCTAACGCATGTTCATTAATACATTTTCTTTTGCTAAACAAAGTAATATTTATTGAATAGTGAATAAATGTAAGAACGTTCATTCTAAAAGTTGATGTTTCTTTACATATTTTGGGTTTACAAATGCCCAGAAGCTAATGCTGTTTGGATGAGCGGGTCTTAGCCTGGAAAGGTTTGGAAACCCAGGACAACTTTACTTAGTCTCTGTGAAGGTTGTGAACACAACCCTGATAGCTCCTCCCTTAGCCCCGCCCCCTGCCCAGGTGTAGTATATAATACTTAACCATGGCTCAGTTTAGCCTGTTGCTAGCTCCCTAGAGAGTTAGGTGTTTGTTAGGTGTTTGAAGCAGCTTTTCCTTAGTTTCATCCTTATACGCACCCTTTGGTTTGATTATCCTTATACACACCCTTTGGTTTGATTGTTTTTGGACATTTTTATTCTTATCCTGTACCTAATGTACATTTCTGTTTGATTCCTTGCTTTGAGTTTGTATTTTGACTTTAGATATGTTAAATTAGTAACCTTTTGCTATTTTTTGTTTCTTTAATTTTCAGAGTGGCCTAGTTGACGTCAGGTGGGAGGCTAGGCACCGTGATGAGGACCACACTCCTGTTGGTCGTAAGTAGACATTCTTAATGCATGTCTTGTAGCTCTTTCTTTAGCGTTGCCCCAGCTCACTGATTTGGGTTCTCTGCTATAATTATTATAGTTGTATTTATTTTATTTATTTACTCTGCCTCCTCAGTCTCATTGTTTGTGACAGGCCTTAATTCTTTGTCATGTGGTTTTTCTTTGATTGACGTTTAACATAGTTAAGTAAATGAGTCACAACTAATCAGTGGTATAACTTATTCTTTTTCACCAATTAAACCCGATACAGCTTTAGGCTGAACTGCATCTGCAGGTACTTGGACTGTGGGAGGAAACCAGAGGACCTGCACAAAAAGTAATGCACACTCACACAACATACAAACCTCATGCAGAAATAGCATCAGTTATGGCCATGGCTCAGACCTGTGATCATACAGCAGCAGCAGCAGCAGCACTAACACTAACCAGCCTTCCACCATCTTTAGAAGCACACAAACCAAGGACATTGGAAAAAAGTAAAAGTTTTAAAATAAACAAGTCACAGGTGAATAGAAAATCAATCTATCAAAGGCTGGAGATGGATGCTGGTATCTCTGAGAACGTACGTCAAGGGCAACGCCTAACCTTTGTTCCTGATGCTTGTTTGCACCATCAGTGGCAGCACCATTGTTAAAACCATCTGCTTCCTGTCCTCCTTCCAACATGGAAAACTCTATAATGAGGTCCTTAAATGGTAACAAGCTTCCTGTAAGGTGACCCACTGCTTTTGTTCTCCAGTTCTAAGTCCACATAGTGTGTCATAACCCTGAGGACCAATTATTACATTATTAACTATGTTCAATTTGGCAGAAATGAGGCCATAAACCGTTCAAGTTACGATTTAAAGTCAGTTTAATTAATGTTTAAAAATACAATTGACGAACTGAACCTGAAATACAAAGGAAAGTTCAGGAGCAGTTTAAATGTGGAGCTGTGTTAATTTCATAACTAAAAAATTATATGTATATGCGTGTGTGTATATATGTCTTATTAAGAAAGGTATTGGGTTGCCAGATTTCATATCAAAAATCTTAGTAAAAATTAAAAACTCCTAATTAAAAAAAATATTTTTTGTCAGAAAAACTGACATGATATGGAAATAAAATGACTACTGTAGTGAGAAATAATTTTATTTCATTGGTGTTCTGCTTGTTTACAGATATGAAAAGTACATAGTTGTCACAGTATAACTGGTACAAAAAAAATATCAAATGCTTTTAAAGACACTTAAAAGCCTGGTTAAACTGACTCATTATAAAATATAAGACACATCGGTGCAGATAAAAGCATTATTTACAGAAGAATCTGTTCTAAATGTTTGAGTTTGAGTAGTGATATGTTGGTGCCTCTGTAAAGTCCCGGAACCTTTTTTTTTTTTTTTTGGAGCGAGGTAAACTTGTCTTACCTTGAATATTTGCTGTGAAAGTTCTGATCATGAACACTAAGTGAAATGAGTGACTCCAACACCTGTACTTGGTAACTGACCACTGTAGCTGCTCAGGGCAGAAATGATTGGTTCCCTGGTGTGGAACAAATGCAACATTAATGCAAATGCATTGTCAATTCTCTTTTTGAGAACTGATCAAATTAAGGTCCAGTGTGCAGATTTAGTGACACCTACTGTTGAAACTTGAGATTACAGTGTTCTCCAGTGAACCAATGACATACTGGAATGTGAAGAGTTACTCTGTTTGTGAAACGCTGCCGTTTCTTCTCTAACATTGAGTAAAGCATTGGTGAAATAGGTCATTTCGTCATAGGTCATAGGTCATTGGAAAGCAGTTATGAAGAGATGGTGACGTACACCATAGCGCTGGGTATCACGATACGATTCTATCACAATATTTTGACCACGATAATATCAGATACTGCCATATCGATATAGTGCAATAAATTTCATCCAAAATACATCACGATATCTGTGTCACTGAAGACATTTAAATGTATCGTATGAATCCATTTCACACGAATGACAGCCATGCATGTGACACGAGTAAAACAGTAAAAGTGCAAACTGCCCACTCTTCCAAAAGTACAATTCTGGGAAAAAATGTTTTTAATTTATATGGCTTCAGATTTGCCCTGATTTCTACTGCTTAAACACCCAGCCCCGAACTGCTCCGACTGCCTGTTAAGAGGAGCGTTAAATGTCATGACGCTCGTCTCTTTTGTTTGACATGGCTCAAAAATGGCTTTGCTGATGTTCTTTATACAGTCTTGAAGTGAAGGTGAAAAGGTGAAAGAACAGACATAAGGATCTGAACTGTCACTGTCTTAACCTTAGCTTACATCTTTTTAGGGAGTTGCATTTTTATATGTTTTATATTTTGTTTTTATGATTGTCATCACTTTAATTTCATTCAAAGTCATTCACCACACTCTGAAAGTCAAGTAAAAAATATATAAAAAAATACTGTTTAACATGAAACTGGTCTGTGACACAAAAGGTTGTGATATATATATATATATACCAATATATTGGTTTTCATAATTGTAGGAAAAACCAATAAAGTTACATTATGCTAATATTAGCCAATATCATCGGTTGGCTGACATTATTGGACATTCCTAATATATATACATATTTTTATGCAGCATATGTATTTATGAATATACTTATAACAGCTTTAGGTCTTACTGCCACAAAACTGAAATTAAGAAACCAAGTATTTTACCTGTGTAAACTGGATGTGTTATGCTTTAAGAAAAGCCAAGTTTGGCACCGTGCAGTAGATGGCACAGAGGATGCTGCTGTTGGTGTTTGTTCTGTGTGAGAGCAGACATGCAGAATAACAGATAAACACCTGAGATCGGTCCTGAGACTTTGATGCACTGGCAAAACACGCACTCCTCCCTTTCTTTGATGTTAGATGCAGTGCTGTAGTTAATACATGTTAGAACACACAAATATTCTCCATCCATCTGATACTGACCACAGATATAAAACGAACCACAAAGTCTGACCACCTCCTATGGCTGTGGTCAATTGAAGACCTAATCCTTAATAAGGAATTCTTTGGCCCCCGACACATGTAAAGTACATGCAGACTCCACAGAGAAAAGGCGGAGCTGGAAGTAGCTGATGAGCAGACTAACTGTGACAGTGAAGCCTCCTAAATGCTGCACACTGGACCTTTAACAAATGTATAAATAAAAGTTGAAAAACCACCATGTAAAGAAACTACATGTCCAGTACTTGTATCAGGAGGTCAGTTAATCTGGACCCTGCTGTGTTGGTACGATGTACACTGATGTTAGTACTTATGATTTCAATCCCATGTTCTTCCTCTGCATGGTCAGTATTTCATTCTTCATTACTTCCTGTGAGGTCACTGACCCCCGTGTCTAATGTTTGCTGTTTGGCAGTGGGAGCAGTTACAGGCTGATCAGACTCTCCTCCTCCTCATCCTCTGCCACTGGTTCCTCCGTGGCTTCCATTTCTGTGGAGAGAGCTTCTGCAGGTGGTGCAGGAGGCGGGTCGGTGGGGCAGCTGCGGGGGGGCTGTTTGCTGGGCTGGCTGACGGGATGGTAAAGAAAGCAGTAGCCTCCAGGTTGACAGCCACTCTTAACACTGAGAGCCAGATCAGTGGAGACGCAGGGCTGCTGAACACCATCTATATACACGCTGAGCGTGAAGCCCTCTGTGGGAGTTAAACAGACAGACAGGACGTTACTGAGCGTGTCCAGGGCACAAACAAACGATCGTGATCGCTGCGAAGTCGGGTCCTCTGACCATTTTAGGTGTTTGGATTGAAAGAAAAAAGTCTGGTGAGAATTTAGAAGAAGAATTTAGAAGAAGCTGCAAAACAATGTGTGTACAAACAAGTATTGATTATGTGTGAGAAATTCACTCTGTCCTAACACAGTACCCTGTTCCATTAAACATGCTCATTTTGACTAAATTATGTCAAAAGAAGAACTGCATGGGGTCCTCGAAATTATGTCAAAAGAAGAACTGCATGGATTTCTCAGCAAGAATTTTATATGTCCGGGGTCCTCATCGCCATCTCTCATAAATGTATTAATTTTATTATCATTATTTCGTTGTACAGAGTTAAAACTGATTTTACACTGGATCTAGTTGGTGAGCAGACATATGAATATGCTGTCATGTAGTGCTATACGCAGACGATGGCTTTGTTCACATTTGCCGGTTGTACTCCATACATTGGATTGTGCTACGTTCACTTTCTTTCTTTTGTGTTGTTCTTTTGGGAACGTTTTGCCCTTCGTAATGACTCCCAGGTGTAACTCGGACTCTTACGATGCTTTTATGTCCTAGATTATGATGTTACCACTGTGTTAGCGTAGGTGAGTGACACAGGTACTGATGTATGCAGAACCTCCTTTAGTCCACATCTGCAGTTGCTCTTGACAGCGTTTTTACACCAGTAATGGGGAAAAAGACAATAGAAGAGTGTTTTTGCTAAAAGTAAGTATAGTAAGATTTGGTTCTTTTAATCGTATTTGTGAGAGTTTAGTAATCTGTATCTATCATCTTTACACATAAGTTCCAGTGTGATTAAAAACAGTAGCTGTACCTACACTGTTGAATCAGCAGCTAATGCTCTCTGTGAGCACAACTGTGTGATGGAGAGCAACAGCAGCAGCAGTGACTGGTTAAAATGTTAGCTGTATGAATGGTGGAGCATGCGTCTGCAAGGATAAAATGGCAACGTTATTTTTCTCATGGGACATTCAGTAGATGTGGTTGTAAAAGTTGTGTTTTAATCTGGTTCAGTCTGTACTTCAGTGTTGTCTTAGTTCTTTGTTGCGTTAAAGCCTGTGCTCTGTAGGAATTTTCACGACCAGAACCCCTGACTCTCTGGATGTTCTGCTGTTAGCAATCACCTTGTTCAAAGCGTACTGCACACTGCTCGGCCAGCTGTTCAATTGTTGTGGTCGGGAGGACACCCAGAGTTTTAGGGTTGGTTCCAATCTCAGGGCAACACACTGTCAAAAAGTCCTACGTAGAACACATACACAAGGACATTAAACAAAGCGTGAACCCTGACCCCATTCCAAACACACAATGTAGGATCACTGTGTCATCTGTGTGAGTTGTTATCTGTCTGTGAGCCAGCATGCAAATTATAGAAGAGTCTCCTATTATTTATTTTCTCACATAAAACATGACACCCAAAGCTGAGGGTACCGTGTGCAGATGTTTGTGCTTAAGTTTAACAGTGGAAATTGTGACATTTGTTCCACTTGAATCCACCATTAGCTAAAGCACACACACACGGGACATTACTCCTCTGTTTTGAGCGTCCCCAGTGTCAACTGCGCCCATTCTTTAACGCAGTCCAGTCTGGTAATTTATTTTCATTTAAATGTTTAATAAATAGTAATTTAGACTTACTTAATGTAAATGTCATGATAAGAGTTTTTTTTGAAAAACACCTCTGTTGTGTGAACTCTCTTTGTCAGTGTAGGGGAAGTCGAGGGTCCCCCGGAGTGAGGGGGTATTTTGAAGTTGAAGATTTAGTGTGGAGCAAGGATTTTATGGGTAAGAGTGAGGAGTAAGGTAAGGCATTATAGTGCATGTAGCTGTTAGGATCAGAGTAATATGCATTAGGATTAGCAGGTATGTTTTATACCTATGGGAAGTTCTCACAAAACACAAATAAGTGGGTCGGTGTGTGTGAGTGTGTGTGTGTGTACCCGGACCGATCCTTGGGCCATTCTTTCCTGGTTGAGTGTGCGTCGTCTCTCCCAGCGGTGGATGGAGTCCTGCACCTCTCTGCTGAGCTGGCGTGTTGCTGACCTCTGCTGGTCAAAAGTCTTTATGTGCTCTAGAGCTCCGTACGTGGTGGTGAGATAGTAGGAACCTGTTGACACGCGTCATTAGTCAGCATACAATACACGCAGTTATCGGACATAGTTACATGAACAGCTGAAACGGTTGTTCAAACGTAATGAGCTCTTTCTTTTGTTCTTAACCTTCTCCTATTGTTAATGATGGATCCATCAACTCCATCATGTATTCAACGTCCAGCTGCAGAGCAGACAGATTGCATCTGGCCAGAACATACATCATTACAGGCAGGAAGTCGTCAGCTCCATGGGCCCGCCCTAAACACACACACACACACACACACACACATGTTAACACACTTAAACATACACAGGCGTTATGACATATGTATATAATACTGTAAAAAGACTTATGGGGATAGAGCTGTATAATAAAAACAACAACAATCCAAGATGGCTGCCAGTGGATAGGTTTAAACCAATGGTTTGCACGACAGCATCTTCAGTAGATCAGTAGGAGTAAATATGAAGTGGGTATGCTGTGATTACTTCACAAATGACATCAGAGGTTTGGTCATTTACAGCTCGTGTATCAGAAATTTTTTTAATTAAATGTAGTTGATAAAAATATACACACTGCCCATGGTATGGTTAGTCAATAGGCACAGAAGCAACAAATTATGTTACTCTCCTGTCACAGCCAATTGTAAAAGCTTCACCTGGATGTAAGGGTTTAGTTTGGGTGACAAATGGGAGCAAAGAGTGAGGTTGAAAGTGTGTTTTCAGTTAATGCTTCCATCATTCATTCATTTTCTCTATCCTTTTCAGGGATGAGCTGTTTCACCCTACACGGTTCAGTGAAAGTTGCATTGGTAATTCAGTATATATTTAACAGAATCCTGGAATCACTTCTAGTCAAAGGTGGACTATAATTATTAACGTGTGACAGGGAGTGAGTCAGTGATACAATTATAAGACCATTGTCTGCATCAGTGATGTATGAATGAAGTTAAAAGGAACAGATTAGCCACACCACCAGCCTCCAACGTGATTGGTGAGCGAACCAGGGCAGGTTAGTAATAAGTCGGTAACACAAGTAGTGTTATTGTCTGTCAGGCCACAAATGCAAACTAACAGCAGAGGGTCAGATGACCTTATACTGACATCTAGTTCTGGGTCGCATGTACGTGGTTCACGGTCCACTTCTGGCCCAAAGGCCAGGGGTTTGAGCTGGTTTAGAAAAAACCATAACTGTATTTTAACACATGCACCCCCCCACAGGGAAGGAAGAAGAACTACATGCTACACTATATGAACTCAGAATAACAAGACAAAGTTCTTAGTCAGAGTTCCTGACCTGGGCAGCTGACAGACATGCAGTCATAGATGATTTTGCAGGCCTTCAGCAGAAGCTCAATCTTTTTTTGAGGAGAATACTCATAATGGAGTTTGTTGAGTTTGATGCTGATCTTCTCCATAGCAGAGGCCTCAGGGACAGCAGTTGTCACACCTAGTGCTGTGGTAGTGCTTCCTAGAACAGCAGACTGACGCACATGCACACACAGAGACACAAAGAGCATTAATTCGTCTCCTGCTACAAAATGCACAGCATTGTGTGCAGTATTGGTGGCATACTGTTACATATCACTGCACCACTGCACAATTTGTGGGTTCTACCTGGTTCTGTGTCAGCTGTTTCAGGCTGTCGTTGTTGTGCAATTTTTCAAGACACTGGTAAATTTGTTCTCTGATCGGCTTCAACACACTCTTACACAGAGCAGCTTCCGCTATGTTTTCTGCACGGAAACAACACAAAAATAGGACAGCCACTGTTAGCTGATGTAAAAGCAGCATAGTTGTGATAGACAGTAAAGTGTAATCTGAAAACATGCATTCTCCCTAAATGTCTACAGTTTAGCATGTAAATTGTATGTGGTACAGAAGTAGCAGATACTGGTACACAAGCTTAGAGTGCCCTCTAGCGGCTATTGGTGTGAAAATAGTCACACCTGAGTATAAGTTGTAAGCTAAGCCAAAGGATGAAAAAAAGCATGGCTTACAGTCTGGAAAATACGGTGTGTGTGTATATATATATATATATATGTATATAATGTACTACTTTACTACTGGAATTGAACAAATTAAAGGGTGTAGTCCAAAAACAAATACGAGGTGAAGTTACCCAGTTTGTCTTGTGTGTACTGATGCTGCGGCTCCAGCATGGCCTGCAGCTCGGCACTCTGCAAAAGGTAACTTTTTAGCTGAGTCATCATCTGTCTGATCTCCTGTAGCAGCTCGGTGGTAGTGGAGTGGTTTGACATGGTTTCCAACGTGAATGTACGGTGCTCCTTTACCTGGGTGTATATTTGACATACCATTGATTTACAAAAGTTTACAAAATGTAGCATACAGGAACACATTTTTTCGAAAACCCTGACACATGGCTGAGGTCAAACCTTAACACTTGAAGTATTGTGCAATAGCACAAATAATTGGTGTGTTCATACCGTGATGTCTAATCTTTCAAATTCAAATTGAATGTCAACTTAAATAACAATTTACACCATTACTGATAAAAAGCATTTAAATAAAAAAAATAAACGACTTAGTTTAGACCAGAGGTAAATTATTTCGGAGGCTCACAAAGCATTAAGTAGAATTCTTTTCAAAAAACAAAACAAATAAGAGAAGTAATGATTAACTAAGTCCAGTCTGAAATTAAAAGGTCAATCACTCAGTAGCTACAGAGGAACAAACTTAGGAAGTACAGTATATCGTTTGGTCTGAAGTGAAAACTAGAAATCTTTAGCCATTTTGTTTGCTTTAAGAAGGAAGTTAGAGAGTACAGAGAGAAGAAACACACAAGTGGATGGATAATGTTATTCCTGGAAACTTCTGAGGGAGGAACTTCACAGTAACATTTTTGTGAAAAAAGTTATGTAACCAGGTTAATAATACTTCCCTCAACTCTACATCAGATACAGTAGGTTCTTGACATACTCACCAGGTTACCAAAGTAGCTTAGAGGGTCCCTAGCCATCTCTACGATGCGCTGTGTGAGGCGCCGATCATGACTTATGAGGCCAGTGAGGACAGTAGAGAGGCGGTGGCGGGCGCGATCCAAAATAACGGTGGTGGGCGTCCTCCTAATCACTGTCTTTGGACTGCGACTCTCTGCTGGACGACTGGGGAATAATATGGTTTTTATTTGTATTTGTTTTATCTGTAGCTGTGTAGCATCTGTTGCAATGGCCAAAGCTAATTGCAACTCACTAAATTAAAAAAGGTTACTGTCTCACAGCCATTTTACTGTACTGTCCTGTCCTGTCTTTACCATTAGCAACGATGTCTCCCAGACAATCCTGCAGTGGCCACTATTAACTGACCACAACACAGAATCAGTGGGAGGAATTGACGCCTATTAGAAGTGGCAACTTTTCAAAATAAATCACCCAAAAGACGAATGGAAATAAAATACATATCAATGTAAATCATCTGTCAAATTGGTGCCAAATGATATACAGCAGTGATCAAGAACTGGCAGCTAGTTACTCACATCCCTGATGTACAGCGAAGGCCGAGGTCCATATTGGACCAAAGACTAATCCTTATTGGTCAATGAATATGACTGAGTATTGTTAACACGTCGACAGAGAAGTTCCTGCTGGAGAGCCTTAGCTATAGCTCCATTGATACATGACTGCAGATTCAAATGTTCATCATTGTGTTTCACTTCTCATACAGAGGATGCTCTCAGTCATATCGCGGGGCTAAGAATAGCAAAATTTTGCGTTTCCTTTTTTTGAACAGTCGATTTTTTTTTCCTATTTGTGAACCATATTGTACTCTGACACATTTCTTCCTGGTAACCCACTGCCTGTCCAGCTGCATGTCACACTGACAGTGCTAACAAGCTATAGATTAAACTTTAAAATCTCCGACCTGCTCAATGTGGGTGAAGTTTTCTGATCAGAGCAGCATTTTCATAACATCACCAGCCTTTTGACCTCACTTGTCCATCGAGTTTCAAACTTTCTTTTGACCTATCAACGGGTCCCAAGGCAGTGTAATCGAGGACAGACTTTTGAAGTGAGATGAAAACCTGATTAGGAGTAAGCTGAGTTGCGGTGACAATGCATTTGTGCAACAGCATAGTTCCTTCTGTTCCTTGACTTCCTGTTTGTGGTTAGACTAAAAAAAAGAATTAATATTGACTTTTAGTTTATTATAATGGGAAAAGATGACGTAGTGCTAAAGGTTCTGCCTGCCATACTGTAGGTTGCTGGTTGAAATCCTCCACAAGGGATTGTTGTGGCAGGAAGGGCACCTTATGTAAAAACAGTTGATGACTAGAGTTGTGACGTTTTCTGGGGGGCGGGCAAGGGCTCAACCCCTTTTACAGATTAACTGTTAATACAGCGACACAAGTCGATTCAGTGAAACCTACCTGTGGTTTTGCTCTTGTTCCTGGTTCATGTCACCATCTTCCTCAGCGCTGCTGGTTGAACAGGAATCTGGGTCTGTTGTCACAACAGCACTGCCCTGCGGTGAGTACAGTGACACGTCTGGCCTCCTGCCAGGGGATGCAGGTGGGATTCTTGACCCGGTACTCTGATTTGCTAGTCCGCCTCCAGTCTGATTGAGGCCCACAGGTGTGTCTGGAGACAAGGTTTTCCTCCTCGGTGGAGGGACAGGACGGGACGGTCTCTTCACTACTGGTGGACACTGAGGAGCAGAACTTCTTGATTCCACTTCTTTATTCATTTTCACCTCTGTTTTCTCCTTCTCATCCTCTGTCTCCTTCTTCTCTCCGTCCTCTTTTATTTCTTCTTTTGCACAGTTCTCTTGCGGAGGCTCCTCAAACAGCAGGCCTGCTTTAGCTTTTATTTTCACTTCTTTTTCTTTGTCTCCTTCTCCCTCCTTCCATTTTTCCATTTTACCTTTTCTTTTCTCTGAACCGTCTCCTCCCTCTGGTTCGCTGTGTTTCCTGGAGGAGACGCGTGGTACCGGAGCGGGGGGAAGAGGAGGAGCAGCTCGGCTCTGCAGTCGAGGTGGAGGCTTTGACGGAATAGGTGATGATGACACCGACTTCCTCTCTTCTTTCTCTCCTCCTCTTTTTACCCCTCCTCCCTTTCCTTCCTCTTTTTTTGCAGTTACAGAAGGTGCAGTGTGAGCTAAGGGGGAGGAGGAGAAGGAGAGGCCAGCACCTGAGCCCAGGCTTGGTGGTCTTGGTGGGGGACGTTTGTATTTGATCTCCTGTTTTGATTTTGTCTGGTTTAGAACTTTAACTTCTGGCCTTTCCTTCTTTGTTGCCTCTCCATTCTGCATGGCTGAGGTGGAAGTGGTGGTGGTGGGGGAGGTGGAGATGGTGGTGGTGGTGG